GAACATCCCCTCCTGTGCACAGCGCTCAGGACCAAGCCTACACATCAGCCCACCGAAGATCACGCAGTGCAGCAGGTACGTGAGGCTTAGCCTCAAATGCACCTGCGCTAAGTGTGTTTTCAGCAATGCGCAGACTTTCTGCTTAGATGTAATGCTGGGTATTTGCATTATGCTCTCACCTGAATGATCCCCATTCTTTTATGAGAGGAGACAATGAATGTGGAGGAAAGCCAGCCCAGACATCAGACTCATAGTGTGGGCAGCCCTGTTTTCATCACTACTACTTTGTTTGAATGCTATCTCCAACACTACTTCTACTAGGTGTGAGATAAGTCTGAACTTTCCCATTGCACACTACCAATCAGTTGATGTTCCTTTCCCCACATGGTTTGACGATGCTTTGCTGCTGAGGAAGGGCTCCATCTGGTTGCAGTTTCACTTTTTAATGCTTTACATAAACATAGCTATAAAAAGCAATGACATGAGGATAAAAAAAATAATGGCTTCATATGGGGTTTGGGCAATGGCTATGAATCACTCGCAGACAGGCACCGAACCGCACCTGTTAGAGCACCGAGTTCAAATTTGATGCTACAGCAAAACTTGCAAAAAGCGGGAGGGGGATGGTGGTCCTTTCCTGTTGTTGTATGTTAATTAGTCTTTTTAATGGGTAGCCAAGAAATATTTTAGTGCAGGTTGACCCTGAATTTAGACTAGTAGTTAACGAGGTTGTTCCCCATATCTTTTTCTCAACCTGGCTCTCTTAGTGGACCGCAGCCTTGGGAAGTGCTGAAAACTTCCTGAGCGCCGCCCTATACTGTCTTGATGGACTTTGGAAGTGACATGGTTCAGACTGTTGACAGCTTAGCTTCTTTTCCCTATATCTCTTTTCCTGGCTTTGTCTACATTGCAGATACTCTGTGGCAGGAGCTATAGACTCAGCTTCCAGCGCTGACTGCGGGGATGGAGGGGATCCAGCCCCTCAGAGCACGATGTCGAAGTACGCGGGCTGTTCTGTGTCTGGGTGTATATATGTCAGATACATCACTCAGTGGGGCAAAACACAAGTTTCTTCTGCTGTGAAACTGAGTGTTAGTTGTCTAACTTAGCATGGCAGTTGTGTAAGAAGCTACCAAAGTCTGTAGTTTGAGCTTCTCTGGAAGCAAAAACGCAAAGGCAGATTTGTGCCGCCTGTGGCAGATTCCCTTGTGAGAGCAAGTGCGTCATTCCACCCGAGGGCTGTCCTTGCATGTCCTTGCCGTACTCCCCACTTCTCCAGGGCAAGCCATCCAAGGACTGCAGTGCACTTTGCAAACTGATAAAGCATCGCTTTGTTCCTATAAGGGACATAATCATTATCATCTGCACTTTACAGATGGAAGAAGTATTGCACAGAAGCAACTTGTCCAATGTCATTTAGGGCAGACAAGCCAAATCCGGAAACACAGCCTAGATCTCGGGCCGCAGCTCCAGTCTCCCTGCAAGACAGTGCTCGGTTACCCAGTCGCCGGGAGGCTTGTTTGCTGAAGTGACTCACCCAGCAAACGCGTTCTTCTCGCATGAGCTGTAAGCGCATCGCAGCTGCTGTGGACGTGCGGTTACTTCTGGCTTGTTTCTGCTTAGGCAACGTTTTCAAACTGCAGCCAGGAACTTGAGAGGTGGTCCAAAGGCTGCACCACTTGAACAGGGTATCGAGTAGGTATTTCAGCTCCAGGACTGCTTACACTGCTCTCCGTGATGTGCGAGATGATGGATAAATTTTGTCCTGTTCTCTTCTCCGAGAGACCTTTTCTGGGAATAAGGGAGTCACAAAAACATCAGCTTTCCTCAGCTCCCCAAGTGGGCTTCTGGGATCACAGGACGTGTTAGAGGCGAAATATCTCATTAGGCAACTGTGCAACCTCTGGCCGTGAGTGGAGGTTTCAGCCGATGCGACTCCTTGGCAGCTGTGAGGGTAAAGCTGCTACCAGAGTTTCACTAGTGTTTAATCAGCTTTTATAAACGGCCATGGAAGGAAAAGCACAGCTGCTCTGTGGAGGGAGTGTGAGCTCCATGTCTCAGGAGATTTTAGAAAATAAGCTGCCCTCTTAAAAAAATATATATTAAACTGTCCCCTGCACACCTGCTCTTGCTCTCTCATTTCAGTGAAGGGTGGGCTATAAACCGGGAGAGTGCATCGTTAAGGCGAGTACTGCGCTGGGGTTTAGGACCAGACTGCAGAGCCAAGCTGCTCCCAGAGGCCTGCTCTGGTGCATCTGCTGGAGTTAGGCTCGGCGTGGGGTTTGCTGGTGCCATGCGCTCCAGGCAAACTGGAGCAGCGATTCTCCCAAATCCCACCAAAATCGTTGCTCACTAGAGCCAAGCTGTGAGCTTGGGTGCTTTGCGCTCTCCCATACAAATGTGTTGGTGGATTCAAAGCCAGGAAAATAAGGTTAATGGCCAAGCTGTGCATTACACAGTAATTTGTGATTATTAATGGAGCATCACTCTCCAAACTAGCCCAAATAGCTGTGCGAAATTTAAGGAGACACAACCACTCGTTGTTCTTCTGCATAGTCTGTTTGGGGAGTGAAACAGCAGAATTTGCTAAGCGTGAGGCATAGGGATCTGGGTCTCACGAGAGGCGGGCAAAAACCAGAAGGAGTCTGCATCCCTCAGCAGCTGGGTGGAGAGACACGGGGGAGAAGCCTTGGGCAGCAGGAGCTTCGGTTTTCCCTCAAGGAAAACTTCCCTTACAAGTTCCGCCCCATCCCTTCGTCATGCTACCGAGTGTGATCCAGCTGGGAGGTACTGCGGGTGGGGTGGGGTGGCTGGCAGATGAGAAACAACCTGGTAGTACAGGAGGTGGATGAGGAGCTATTGAAGAACTGCCTGCCCTTCCACCGCAGGACTTTCTGTTCCTGTTCCTCAATCCGTCCCGTGTCTGTTTGCCTGCCTGCAGCGCAGCGGGGTTCTGGACTTGGGGCAGAAGAGGTTTCTGAGGATGCGGCCACCCTCCCTTGGGCTGAAGGAGGTTCTTGTTCCGAACACGTCAGGGTGGTGGGTTGCCCACGTGCATCGCAGTATTTTTCCCCAGGAACTGATCAGCTGAGACTTTCAAATTATCAAGCAGTTTTTCAAGCATAACTGTCATGTACTGAGAGTGACAGGAATGCTGGATAGAAAAAACATGTGTGAAAGCTCAGAGGTATAATCAAAGACTAAGTGGGCTGTGTGCTCCTTCCTCTTCTCCCCACCCAGTGGGTGATGGCAGGTTTAGGCAGGCTGTGGGCTGTTGTGCTTGGGCAGAGGGCAGGGGCTGTGGTGGGTTCTCATAAAGGATCTCTTATTCTGATGAGGAAAGAGGTCAGACCTAGGTTAGCTTTGTGGCTAGGCCTTTGTTCAACCAACCACTGGTCGAGCAGCTACCTTCTGACTTCCAGCACTAAGCTCTTCCATGCCCAGTTCACAGAGAGTTCAATGTTCTTTTGTAGCCTAAAAATCTCCTTGTTCTCGTTTGTGTGTCTGTGGATATGTTTATAGAGAGCATTTGCTTTGCTAAGCTAAGCAAGCCAACCTCCTCCTGAGTTTCCTCTGTGTGTGTTTGTGTGTTGGGGAGCCGTCCTTTCCCCAATTTTCCCAGTATTCCTCCTTTTCTCTAGGTTTAATGCAGATTTCACTAATGCCTTGTACAATGGCTATAAACTCCTAGTTTCACAGAAAATACCTTTCTTCGTATATTCTAGGGCCATCTTGACAAACTGTTAGTGCACGTACATCCTGTAGTGGACCATTATTCTCTGATATCCTTCCCATTATGTCAGCCAATGACTTTATATAATATAGGAAACATTTAGGGGGAAAAAAAAGGAAAGGTTTCCCAGTAACTGCATTGCCCAAACATTCAGCACAAAGCATCTTTCACCGCATCAGGGACAAGGTCCTATTTATTTAGATGGGCAGAGGAGATCACTTGGACTCTGTGGTCTCAGAGCAGGCAAAGTGGACACACACAAGATTTGGGTGTCTGAATCCACACATCCTGAACAGCATCACTTGTCAGCCAGAACGTTCCCTGGCTTTGTCACCTAGATCCAGCTGAGCTGGGCCCGGGACGTGCCTGGTGTCCCAGAGCCCTGAGCCCCCTCGACGCTGTACCAGCCCACGTTTGTGGGGGCAGAGCAGCAGCTTCCTGGGGGTGCGAGCAGACACGCCGCTCCCTGGCAGGAGGCTGTGGCAGGCCCGCCCTGGAGGAGCCCCCTCCCCCCTGGCTGCGGGCCCCG